CCGCTGGGCACAGCGGTTGTTCCTGCTGCGCTCCAGCCCGGGCCGGGCCTGGCAGCCACTGCCTGTCGTGGCGGTCCCTCGGGCGCACCGCTGACACGTCCGTCCCCACACAATTAGCGTGGCCATTCCCTGGCCCGCGGATCCCGGCGCCAGGCAGTGAGGGACGCGGTGCAGCGCAGGGCACAGCCGGGTGATCGCTGGGGTCGCTCCCGCGGCCCGTGGCTGCTGCTGCTGGACGTGGAAGGAGAACACGGCTGTTACTGGGGGTCCCTGTGGGCCACAGGACCCCCTCGCAGCCTTCGTGTTCTGTCGCATCCATCTAGCAGAGCACCCGTCCTGCCTCGGCCCCACCTGCCCGGGCAGCCGATGGCTGGTGCTTGCCCACGTCCCCTGGTGAAGATGGGCTGGGGAAACCGCGGGGCCTCTCCTGCCCTCTTCTTCTGGGATATCCCCGCTGCCCAGCTTTACAAGGGGTTTCCCATCGCCCGGAGTCCTGCCCTCTGCTCCGGGATCACCGGGTCAGTTTAATGAGTTAACGCTGGCGCAGCAGTTCTGGAGGGGTAAGTGCTGTGTAAGCACTGAGTCTCCCGTTTTGGGCTTCCAGCAGCCCGGCTCTGCTGCCCAGAGCACCGATAACCGCCCGGGGCACAAGGGGCCGGCTCAGACCGACCCCTGGGGGCAGAGGGGACTCTGTGAAGGGACAGTGAAACTCCAGCCTTGGAGCGAGGCAGCTCAAGTGGCCGAGGGGGTGGTGAGGGCAGGGGCAGACTCTCGGCATGGCTCGGCCAGGAAGGATTTTCGGGAAGGAGCCCCGGGCTGAGGAGCTGCCCATCTTTCCCGTGACGGGAGCAGGACGGTGGCATGGGTCCGGCAGTGCCCATCTCAGTGCTGTGACCCTGGCAGCCAGCCGGGCTCGGCGGGACACAGACCTGCATCCTCCCCGTCCGTCCGTCCGTCCCGCTGTCTCCTCCCAGCTGTGAGCCCGCAAGGAGTGGCAGCTGGGGGCTATATAAAGGCAGGGAAACCTCAGCCAGCTCAAAAGAAAGTCTTGGATCTTGTGTTCTCCCTTCCTCCTGCCTTCACGTGATTCAGCTTTCCCCACGCCGGGAGCCGAGGACAAGCCTCGCTGTAAGTAGCCGAGCTGAGCCGGCATTGTGTAGGGGAACCCCCCAGCCTCTGGGCACCACGGTGGCTCCGGGCCCCGGGGAGGGGGTCCCACATCCTCTCCCTTCAGAGAAATGGGGGAAGCTATTGGGGGGCCCCGTCCCATCCCACAGCCTCGCATGGAGCTCCGCCTGTTGCTGCGGGATGGACAGGTTCCAGCTCCCATCTCAAACCAGCCTGGGGGCTGGCGGCACATCTCGGGGGGTGCTGTGAGGGTTGTGGGACGGCCCCACGGGCGAGGTTTCGCTCCTCTGCGAAGTGCTGGGGCTCCCCGCTGCAGCAGCACACATGGGGCTGGCGCCTGTCCCTGCGGTTTGGGGAGTGGGCTGTGTTCAGGGCGGAGGGAGTGCTGCAGTGCGTGTTCACAGATGTGGGACCCTCGGGCTCCACAGGACCAGTGCTGGGGCTAGTGCATAGAAACCTGCGGTGGGGACCGTGCCCCTCATGGGCTGCTGGTCCAGAGGTTTCGGGCAAAGGCGACCTGGGCAGCACTGGGGGGTTTCAGGGAGAACAGTGGAGCGGTGGGGTGTTCCTTGGAGCTATCTCCTGCCGCAGGCAGGCTGGGTAGTAGCTGCTTCCCTTCCAGTGTGTCCCCCAGGCCTGTCCGTGCTGATACCCGTGCATGTCCTCTGGCCAGTCTGTGCTGACCCTGCTCTCTGCCTCCAGGTACGAGATGGCTGCCGGCAGCTGCCTCCTTCTCCTCCTGCTGCCCTCGTTGGTCATAGCCTTGCACAGCTCTCCGGGCTGTAAGATCCGGATTACTTCCAAGGGACTGGACCTGGGTAAGGGGCCAGCCAGGATCTCTCAGCCTGGGAAAGAGGGACGTTAGGCACCCTCCTGGGGTCTGTGCTTGTGCAGGGTTCTGCCTGCACTGCTCCACCATGGGGCAGCCAGAGAGGAGTGGGGGCTGTCAGGGGCCATGCTGCCGGCAGGGCACGTCCCAGCCCAGCCTCGTTCTTCCCTGCAGTGAAGCAGGAGGGGCTGCGCTTTGTGGAACAGGAGCTGCAGAACATCACAGTGTCAGACCTGCATGGAAATGAGGGACAGTTCCAGTACAACATCAGCCAGTGAGTGCTGCCTGCTGCCCGCAGCTTCTCAAGTCCATCTGTCCATCTAACCACCCTGTTTCCTCCCTGCAGAGTCAAGGTGACAGACCTGCAGCTGGCCTTTGCGGACCTGAACTTTCAGCCCCAGCAGCACCTTGTCTTCAACATCAACAATGCTTCCATCAGCCTACGCTTCCGCAGGCAGCTGCTCTACTGGTTCTTGTGAGCTGCCTCCCTTCCTGCTTCTCTGGGTGCTAGCCCACCCCACAGCTGTGTTTGTTGGGTGCCACAGATGCCTTGCTGTCCTGCAGCTGGCAGGAGCTGTGTGCTCCTCTCATCTGCTTTACTGATTTCCAGCTACGACATTGGGTCCATCAATGCGTCTGCGGATGGTGTCCACATCTACACAGTGCTGCAGTTGGCCAAGGATGAGGCTGGGCGCCTCAAGATCTCCAATATGACCTGCAATGCCTCCATAGCCAGAATGCATGCTGGCTTTTCTGGCACTCTCAGGTACATCTGACCCCTCTGCCTGTCTCCTTGACCCCCTTCCCACACCCTCAGTGCTTCCTCAGCCCAGCTGTGAGCTGAAATAGGCACAGAGCCACAGGGAGAACAGGCAGTGCCGAACAACTCTTGTGTCCTCCAGGAAGGTCTATGAGTTCTTGAGCACCTTCATCGTCACAGGGATGCGCTTCCTCCTCAGCCAGCAGGTACAGCTGAATGTAGAGGAGAGGGGCTGTGGGCTGTTAGGGCTCTGCCCTTTGTGTGTGGGAGAGGGCAGAGTTGTATCCTGCCTGTCTGCTGGGCCTTGTCCTGCCTCTGCAGCTCCTCATCAAGTCCCAGGAGTGATTCCCATCAGCCTGGCTCCTTGCCTTGCAGATCTGCCCATCCCTGGAGCATGCCAGCATGGTGCTGCTGAACTCTTTGCTGGACACAGTGCCTGGTGTGTGTTGCCCTGGGAAAGGGACTGGGTCCCATTCACTGTGGGGCAGACAGGGCTGGGCATCAGGCTGCTAGGCAGCTCCAGGCTAAGTCACACCAGCATATCTTCCCTGGCAGTGAGGAACTATGTGGATGAGCACGTTGGGATTGACTACTCCCTCCTACGGGATCCATCCATCTCCACTGACACCCTTGACCTCGACTTCAAGGTGAACACTGGGTCCTGCTTTGCTGGTCCTTCCCCATCCCTGTGGGAAAGGCTGTGCCAGCAGGCAGGTTTGGCTTTATGGAGCAGGTGAGGTGGGCTGCCCTGTGGCTGTGGGAACCTCTCCTGCTCTTGGTCTAGGGCATGTTCTTCCCTCGGGTGAGAGAGGACCAGGAGCTGGAGAACCACGCGGTGGAGCCGGTGATTAAGGAGACTGAACGCATGGTTTATGTTGCCTTCTCTGAATATTTCTTCGACTCAGCCATGCACTCGTACTTCCAGGCAGGAGTGCTGACCATAGAGCTCCAGGGGGAGAAGGTAAGGAGCACCTGACACTCAGAGGGGTGGGCTGTGTCACAGAGCAAAGGAGTGCCATCCAGGGAGCAGCGTTGCTGGGACCTGCAGGAGCAGCTTGCTTCTCCTCCAATGGTTTGTGCTCCCCACAGGTGCCCAAGGACCTGGAGGTTTTACTGAGAGCCACATTCTTTGGAACAATCTTCATGCTGGTAAGGAGCCCCTGGACAGGGTGGAAGGCAAGGCAGAGCACAGCCCTGCCTTGCTCCCAGCTTCCAGCTCATCTGCCTTCCCCAGAGCCCTTCTGTGGATGCTCCGCTGCGGCTCGTGCTGCAGGTCTCTGCTCCTCCCCGCTGCATCATCAAACCCTCGGGGACCTCAGTCTCTGTCTCTGCTTTCCTGAACATCTCCCTGGTGCCCCCGGACCGTCCTCCTGTCCAGCTCTCCAGCATGGCCATGGTAAGGAGGGAGCTGGGGTTCCTTGTGCAGTCACCCCAGTGTATATGGGAGCAGTGTCCCCCATCCTGTGTTGTAAGGTACTGATGTCACCAAGCAGAGGGACACTGGACCTGTGGGATGAGCTGGCCTGTTTGTCCTCTGCCTGCTGTGAGTCAGCTCTCTCCCTCCCCAGGAAACCAAGCTGAGTGCCAAGGTATTTCTGCAAGGGAAGGCATTGCGTGTGCAGCTGGACCTAAGACGGTATGGCTGGGGTCCCACGGGGGCATGGGGAGAGTCCCCTCCAGACCCTGCTCACAGCTGCTTCCTTCTGTCCAGGTTTCGCATCTATTCCAAGCAGTCAGCGCTGGAGTCACTTGCGGTGAGAGCATGGTGATGGCCTGGGAACCCTTACACCCAGCCACAGCGTAGGGTGGGCTGGGGAGAGGCTGTCCATGCAGGATCCCCACCTACAGCCCTCCTTAACCTGGCTGGTAGCTCTGCCACTACACTGACCCAAGCTCTTTTCCTGCAGCTGTTCTCACTGCAGGCCCCACTGAAGACCCTGCTGCAACTGACCATCATGCCCATCATTAACGGTAGGCATCATTGCTCCCACTCAACTGGTAGCGTAAGCAGGGGCTCAGCCTCATCCCATCTCCCTCTCTGCAGAGAGGACAAAGAAGGGGGTGCAGATCCCACTGCCTGAAGGCATGGACTTCACCAGGGAGGTGGTCACCAATCATGCGGTATGTGGTGGGATGGGACAGCCTGTGCCTCCATGTCCTGCTGGGAAGGGAATTGTCACCTCCAGCCTTGCACTGACCCTCTTCCCTCTGCAGGGATTCCTCACAGTGGGAGCTGATCTCCACTTCTCCAAGGGGCTTCGGGAGGTGATTGAGAAATACCGCCCAGTGCCAACTGCTTCTGCCTACTCCAGCTCCCAGCCCACAGAGCCCAGCCTGGACCCCAGCTCACTCTAGCCCTCCTCCCTGGACCAAGGGCAGATCCTGGGCTGGACCCATAGACTGTAGGTAGGAAGCAGCTTCCCTGGTACCACCAGCACATTGTCAGGGCTTCCAGGCCCTGGTGGGGCGCAGCAAGGTGGAGAGGGTGCTCTGGGAACCCCTGCTGCACCCCTGCTCATTACACTAATAAACCACCTGACTCCAACCACATAGCCTTGTTGCTTGGAGGACATTGTCTATGCTGGGGTACATGGTGAGGAGATGGAAAGGAGGCAGCTAATGCTGCCCAGCTTAGGTCCTTGGGAGCAGACACAGCTTAGTGCAATGCCAGAGGGCTCAGAGTGACTGTGCTGCTACCACTTAGGTGGGTCCTTTGTTTCCAGGAGGAAGGGACCCCTGCAGACAGGGCATAGCTCACAGCCCAGGGCTCCCTGGCACAGAGCATTGGCACTCACCGGTGCTCCTCAGAAAGCAGAGGAAAGCGAAGCAGGAGCTGGCACAAAGGTGCGAGAAGGAGCAGAACCACCTTGGTCAGAGTTTATTGCAAGTTCCTGAAGCACTGCGTGCCCTAGCAGTGGGATTGTTGTGGTAGTGGTGGTAAGTCTCCTTCAGTGGGAGCAGAGGTGGTGGGAGCCAAGGTAGAGGTGAACAGGACCCAGGTGCCCCCTGCTGCCGCTCCTCAGCCTGCCCAGGCCGTGTGCATGTGGGTCTGAGAGGAAGTGCTGGGGACTGCTCTCTGCCTGGGAGGGAAGCAGCTGCTGCTGCAGACAGGGAGGAGGCAAGACAGGAAGCCACAAGGGGGGAAGTGGCTGCAGCAGGTGCACAATGCCTCTCCTGCAAGGACAAGAGTCCTTGAGCCCATGCCCCCCACCCATAGCAGGCAGCCCTGTCCAGCCAGGGGGGAAGGCTGCAGGCATGACACATCCATGATGTAGCCGAGCAGCAATGAGGACAGGCTCTGCAAGGTGCCAGCGACGAGGGCAGGTGGGGTGGTGAGAGCAGCTGGAGCACCAGGCACTATCTCTGCAGCTCTTAGTAAGGCTGGTTCTTAATGAAGCGGCAGAACATGGTGAAGGCAGCAAGCGGCCGGTCAGTGGGCACCATGTGGCCAGCTCCCTGCAGGAAAGGGGCAGTGGTTGTCAGTGTGGCTGGGGTGCTGCCACAGCCCAGCTGACACCACCCTACCCTGACTGGAGCCTTGGTGTCCAGCACACCCAGCCACAGCCCCATCCCTGGCCCCCAGCCCTACCTTGACAGTGAGGAAAGCAATGTTGGTGAATTCCTTCACAAAGCCACCGATCTGGTTCTCACCGTTTTCAGTGTAGAGCCAGGGCCGACGAGCCACCTGCACCTGGGAGTAGCAGCAGAGTCTTCAGCACCTGTGGCTGGCCCTGGCCATGCTCCTGCCACATCCAGGTACAGCAAATAGCCCAGAGCCAGTGACTGGCATGGCCTGGGCCCTGCCCATTTACCTTCTGGCACAGGGAATCCACAAACCACTCATCCCCGAGAAAGTTGCAAGCCATGTCTACGTCCCCATTGTACACCAGGATCCGGTATTTCTGTGTAGCAGACAAGAGGGTGAGCTGTTGGCAGGGCAGCAGCCCCAGCCAGGTAGGATGAGCTGGCAGAGACACTCCCAGTCTGTGGGCTCCCCTGCACACACCGTGGTTCCAAGCAGCTTGAGGTACTGCTCATTCATCTGCATGTACAGGCGCTTGTAGCTGCGGTTCACGTCAAAGCTGTGAAGGAAACATTGGCATCATGTCTGCTCATTCTCAGAGTCGTCCCTCCCTGTCCACAGCTTGCTCACCTGCACACCTGCCACTCTGGAGCCTCAGGGGAGATGTGCAGAGCCTTCCGCACCTCGGGGGAGTTCAGATACATGCTAGGGGCTGTGGAGTTGGTACAGGGTGGGTCCATCCGGACCTTCTTTCGGGCTACTGGCATCCGGAACAAGTTCTGGGAGAGTTGTGAGAGTCACTGTCACAGCAGCACCTGCCCCATGGAACAGCTGCTTTCTGCCCCTCTTGCCCACAACAGCACAACTGGCTGAACAGAGGCTGCTCACAGCCCAGCAGCACGAGCACCGCTGCTCACCTGCCGCCAGGAGAACCTCAGGGGCATCCGTATGAAGGAGTTTCCCAGGTCATGTGTGATGAGATAATCACCCTCGTACCTGTAGCCAGAGTGAGTATGAGGACAGACTGAAAACCCTGGAGAACAAAGGCTAAGGGCTCTCCTGGGGGCAGTCCTCAGCAGCAGCCACACACCATGCATTTGTCCCAGAGGGGCACTCTGCCCAGCCCACCATGTCCCTCTGTGCCAGTGCAACCAAAGCGAGCTGGTGCCTATAGAACCGTCTTCCCTGGGGCCACTCTTACCTCATGCTCCCTGGGACACCGCCATCGCATGGGGCATAGAGGTTGTAAATATTGAGGCCAGACTCTTCTACAATCTGAATCATCTCCCCCATCTGCAAGGAGCCGTAAGAAGGGTTTGTGACTTAGCAGGATCCTTGTGGAACTGTGGCCCCACTGAGAGCCAGGCACATGTTGTTCAGCACATGTATAGGCTCTGGTTCCCTCACCTTGAGTGTGCAGTTCAGGTTGGAGTTGTCATGGAAGTTGCATTTCCCCTGGGAGCAGCAGAACTCCTGAAGGTCTTTCCACAGCCTGCAGGCAGACACCAGGACTACTTGGGCCAGGTGGCAACACTGACCTGACAGCTGCTCTGCAGCTCTCTGCCCAGTGGCCACAAAGCACACAGCTTAGTCCCGTGCCCTCTTTACCCCACAAACAAATGCACCCATGGGAGCTGCCTGGGACAAGGAGCCGCAGCCCAGCTGCTGGCCCAGGGCAGGCTAGGTGCTGCCCTTGTCTCAGTACCACCCACCCAGACAGCCCCAGCCTCAGCTGTGCACCCATCCTGCTTGCACAGGGATGGCACAACCAACATTCCCTCTGCTCTTACTCAGTCCCCAGCAGCCCGTGGTAATAGGCAAAGTAAACCAGGGAGTTGTCATTGATCTCATAAGATGAGAGGCCGTTTCCCACAGCGATTCCCTGCGAGGCAAGAAGAAAACAACCCTGTTGTGTTCCAGCTCCCCGCGGGGCGGTCACAGCACAGCAGCCACAGGCAGGAAGCAGATGTGGAACTGTTTACTCTGCAGAGGGAACAGGGAGGGTTGGGGGTGCCTGAGGACGCTGCCCCGGCAGCAGGGACAGACACGTCCACCAGCAGTTGCTGCCAGAACCCCAGGAAGAGATGAAAGGCTGCAGGGCCAGGCGTGCCCTACATCCTGGCTGGTCCCACCCTGGCTGTGCCAAGCCCTCTGCTCCCCAGCTAGGCAGAGCCAAGCTGCCCACCTTCAGGTTGAGGCTGGGGTCCTGCATCACCCACTCTGCCAGTGTGGGAATGTAGACCCCTCCATAGCTCTCCCCTGTGAGGAACAGATCATTCTTGGAGTACTCGGGGAAGAGCCGGAGGAAGTCCTTCAGTGCCAGGTAGTTGTTGTGAGCAACCTGCAGGGAGAAGGTGGCACGGTCGCGTGGTGAGGCTGTACTCTATGCCCAGGAGAGGGCAGGCAGGGGAGCAGGGCTCTCCCTACACCCCAGTCACTCGCCTCTGTGTCATTTGTGGCATACTTCTTGTCATCAGAATATGAGAAGCCGACACCAGCAGGAGACTCCACATAGAGGATGTTGGCAATCTGCGAGGACAGCAGAGGAGCCAGCAATCAGGGGAGACCATCTGGCTCAGTGGGGCCAAGGGCTGCTGGCCCCACCCATGGTAGCACCCACAGGAGTATGGCCCGCCCTAGAGCTGTGCTGGGGTGGCCACATTCCTGTGCTGCTCAACAGCAGACTCGAGAGGAGGGTGTGTTGGGTGGGAGGGGAGCGGCGGAAGGGTCGGCTCCACGGAGAGGGCAGGAGGAACTCGCTCAGGGCCACCCCATCTTGAAGCCACGAAGGGAAGCAGTGCCTGTACCTTGTTCCATGCGTACTCATTGTACTTCAGTGTGACCCCATCGGGCTGGATCTGAGGAAGAAGGTGGTGACTTTGGGCAAAGCAGGGCAGGACACAGCGGGATGGCTCGTGCCACGCAGCCGGTCATCCCCTAAGTCCTTGAGCCACGGGATAGCAGTGACTACTAACCAGGAAGGGGCCATGCTCCTTCAGGAAGCCCTCCATGGAGCTGCAGCCAGGGCCCCCGTTCAGCCACAGCACCAGGGGGCTGCTCTGGGGATTGCTCTGGGCCTCCACGAACCTGCGGACGTACAGCTGTGAGTGCCCGCTGCCAGCCGGTGCCCCCCCATCGCCAGGCGCAGTCCCACGTACCAGTAGTGCAGGTATTTGCCCGGCCCGGCGCAGAGGTAGCCCGAGAAGTGGCGGAAGGAGGGCTGCTTTGACAGCCCGGGCAGGTACGTCACCTCATGGTCCGGGGGGGCGGCCCGGCACAACCCCAG